TCTGTTTTTGGGGTACCTTTCAGATCTGCGAGAGCAAGAGGAGCGCGGAGAGCTGCTGCAGCCCCTGGTCTTCGTCTCGCTGGTTCTGTGCTCGGTCCTGCTGTACTTCAGGGTGTCTCTCATGGATCCCGGTTTCGTGAAGTCTGACCAGGAAGTGAAGGTGCATCACTTCATGGATGGAGGAAAGCAACGAGGCTTTAAAATCTCACAGGCTTTTCTCTTTTTCACACTCTGCTGGTTAAGAACAATCTGAAACGGTTTCTGTTGCACTTGGCATGAAGGAAACATACACCGGCCGTCAGAGACTCGGCTGGACAGTCCCCAGTTCATATTCTAAGCGTATCTTTTACACCAGACTCCTGGTGCCAATGCACTGTGCCATCTGGGCACAGTCAGGCTGCCGTACCTTATGGCATGTATACATGACCTGGTTTATGCTAACCACTGCCAAGCGGTACAAGTGCAAAAAAACCCAAGCTGAATTGCAAGCTTGGAATTCCGAGTGCTCTCTGCAGCTTTATTTGTCAAACTGTTTATAGATTTGTTGCCCTTTTGGAGGACTTGTACACAAACAAGTTCCAGCGAAGGAAACGGAGATGCAAAGTTTCAGTAACTGATAGTCTACTCCAGGTTCGCTGTCTTACAGATTGTGCAGGACAAGAGCATTATCAATTTTAATCATCCATCATTAATGTAAATACTGGCTGTGTTATGAGTAAGTAGCACTGCTAATGCCAAAGAGGCATCATTATTGTGTTTGGAAGTGAAGACTCACCTTGTTTATTTTCGTCCCAAAGTGTAGCATTGGGATCAGTGTGGTATCTTGTCCACAATTATTTCTGCCTCTGTGCAAACATTCTTTTGATGGTTACAATAGCCTGATCTCTCTCGCTGTACCTTAACTATCTGCAGCTTCTGTAGCAGGTCTAAGGAATTATTTTCTTTAACCTCCCTAATGATAGAGATAACCAGCACTGTGTGACTGTAAAGTAAAAGGATCCAGACCCCTCAGTCATGCCAAGATCGCATCACACAAAACCTCCTTCATCACTCCCTTTTTCTCCTTTTTTGTAGGCAAGCAAGAGTGAAGAACAAAGCGTGGTAATACCCCAAGTTCCAAGTGATATTAAGATGCGGCGTTGTGGTTACTGCATGGTGAAGGTAGGCATTCAAAACACACTAGAAGAGAATGGGATGAACAATTTGCAGGCTTAAATTTTTCAGCAACATCTTTATTCAGCTGCTGTTGCTGGTGTTTTTCTGCTCTGGCGTTGTTGCTCACTGCTCAGTGGTTTGGAGGCATGGTAGAACTCATTAATTCTGTCATAGAGTCACCCTCCTGCTGAAAAACTCAGAGAAAAAGTAAATACAGCTAGCAAATTGAATTCAGATACAAATTAAAAAGCAATCCAAACAAACGGTGTAGCTGAAGGTGTTGTAGTGATGGACATTGGCGTGTATGTTGGTTTTCCAAGGCTGAAACAAGTCCCTGCTGGCTCATAGAAAGAAGAGTCTTCTTTTGCCGTGGGAAAATTGTATTCTGCGTTCTTACTGCTACGTCAGTCAGACCTTACAGTATTGTCAAAAAGGTTATTGTGAAGTTATCTTGATAGTCAGAAAAGCAGTTGAGCATGACGTGTAAGAACTGCCGGCAGCTTGTTTGGAGGCCTAAAACCAACAAAACAGCCTGAGTTGTAAAAGACAGCATGAAGGAAAAATTAGAGTAAGTAAATTAGCTCTTAAAACAGTTTGCCTAAAGCCTAGAAATGCCTGTTTTCAGAGTGATCCTTATCAGTTTAATAAAATCCAGCATTATCCCAGCTTCCATAAATTCCTGAAGAATGTCTACCAGGAGAAGTCGGCTTATTGCAAGAAGAAAAGCTGGCAAAACATAGATACGCTTCAGGGAACAAGTCCTAGGAGGCACACTCATACTACTTTCCTCAGCCAGATCTTTCATCATCTTTATTCCTGGCACTTGCTTTCCATGCAGGTGTCTTGTATTCACACAGAAGCAGAGACACTTCCCTTCTCCATGCAGTCACATGAATACATCCTGTCCTGCACACTTTCTTCCATAGCAGAGGTTCTAGTTTTTCACCTCAATGCTCTGCTCTTGCTTTCCTGAATAGAACAGACTCATGGGCTCTATCTCCCTCCTTTGCACACTGGACTTCTTAGAAGTATGTAGATCATAAAGAAAATGTATAGATAGAAGTAGTGTGGGAGAGTCATTAATTTGGATCTGTACCATGGGAATCATGATTCCCTTTAGTTGTCTTAGCAATGTTTGTTTTGTGCCGTTATCTCAAAACGGAGTGCTTTTGGGACAGTACTGCTGCAGAGGAAGACGATGTTGCATGATGCTCTCTTACCAAACAGGGAGTTGAACCAATGGAGTATTGCTAGTGTGTGTTTCTTCGTTTCTGTTTTGCAGCAACCGATGCGAGCCAAGCACTGCCAGCTGTGCCAGCACTGCGTACGGCGTTACGACCATCACTGTCCCTGGATTGAGAACTGTGTAGGAGAGAAGAATCACCCCCTCTTCATAGTCTACTTGAGCGTGCAGCTTGTAGTTCTGCTTTGGGGAGGTCACATTGCTTGGTAAGGCCTGGAGGTGGCACTTGGACCTCTGAGATTGCTAAAAGTTTTTGTGCTCCTGGACCCCTGCTGTTGGCTTTGTATCTTCAGCCTCTTTCGCATCCTGGAGATCAGCTCTTCTGAACCCCTAATCTGCTGAGGGACAACATAGCTGATCAATAGCTGAGCAGAATCTGACAATTTGGGTTTCATTTTCATCTTTGTTTTAAGCTTGAATTAACAGAATTAACAACAGTAAAAAAGCTAACTAATTTTGCTTCAGTTACTTGTAATACGATCTTTGTAAACAAAATCAAAGTACTGGAAACTCCAGTGGGGTTTCAGCTGTACGCCTGTTCAGGAGAGCAGTTAACTGCAGGTGATTGTCTCAGCTGTCAGGGGAACCAGCATCTTTCAAACTTCTTAGAATCCAAGTCATTACTAGTGGAGTCTCTTAAGAGTTTATAGTATATTAACTCTCTGCAGTACGTGGTTATCAGAAGCTCACCAGTTACGGATCAAACGTAAGTGTGCCGTCAGATTTGTTTGGCTCGTGTAACTAGTTCTGCATCTTTAACTGTGAATTTGTTTCTCTCTGAATTGAAAGGTCAGGCCTCTACTTTGAACAGTCCTGGGACTGGCTGCAGCACAACATTCTCCTCCTCATGTCCTTCCTCCTGATAGTCGTATTGACCATCGTTGACCTGCTGCTGCTGATTTCCCACCTCTATCTGATCTCGTGCAACACCACCACCTGGGAATTCATGTCACATCATCGCATCTCCTACCTGCAAAACTCCGAGTTAGAGAATCCCTTTGATCAAGGGGTAGTCCTCAATCTCTGGAGATTCTTCTGTTCATGCCACCTCACTGCATGGGAGAAGATCTATTTCCACAGGAACAATCAGCCTGTCTAGGCACAGCGGTACCTGCCTGGTAGAGTGCCAGCACAGCTGCAGGTTGCTGGGTAAAGCTTTGCTCATGCGATTGCTGCCGTTTCCTCGCATGGAACTTCAGTACATCATGAACTGTGCAACCTGTTCCACAGCTGTTCATCCTACAAATTACGTTTCAAGGATAGTCAGGGTTATTTTTTGTATACGATAACACTGTTAAAGGGGAGACACTAGTTCTGGGAAGGCCAGTGGGGCTGAGTTCTGGACTGAGCAAAGGTACCTGTCTAAATTTGCTTCCTTTTGCTAACTGCATCCACATCTTTCCAGAAGAGATGCAAGAATAGTGTGAGCATGCACGTTCACTTCTCTTCTTCAAAGTTTCCCTCTCCTTCTGCTGCTAGGGAACAGCAGCTATTACAGACAAAACCAGCCAGGATTAGTGTAATTCCTGTGGCCTTTCTTCAACACAGTTCCCACTGTGAGAACCTCAGTGCCTTTTGTCAGTAGTGTTGAGCACGTAATAGAAATATTTGAGGAAATATTTGGACAGTCAAAAGCAAATTTCATTTTGGCCACAAGCCTCAACTTGATGCTTTTCACAAAGATTTGAGGCTTAGTAGTGTTAATGTGCATGAGAAAAAGCTACAAGGCACCAAATTCAGCTTATGAGATAATTAGCCTGTACTTCTTAATGCCCTGACCAGCTTCCTAATAGTTTTTTCTTGAAGTTGATGGTGCTGTTAACAGTTCACAGACTATTTTGAATCAAGCCAGCAAAGAATGATGCCATCCACTTTTCTTTGGACAGAAAAGTGACACTTGCCTACTGAATTGTTTCTGCAGATAACTTCATGCTCAGGCCTTTCCTTGTAGCTTCTGGGGAGAGAACCAGTAGCGAAGGTGGGCACTTCTTGCCTAGCTCAGGTAACACCAGTGGTAATACTTCTACCTCAAGATACCAGTAAAGTTTTAATAAAAGAGTACATAGTTTCTATGGAAGAGGAAAGGTACTAGGTCTTGTTTGTTCATTGAGATGAGGGGGTGCTGACAGCTTTCTAGGATAGCAGCAACACTTGTTTTCCAGTGTAATAAAAGGTCATGCTTCAAGTTTCCATGAGGAACTAAAAGGGAGTTTGGAATGACCAATTTTAGCTTTAAAACCAGAAGAGGCTGTGGTGTGAATTTTAGTCCTGACCCTTTCCTGTTTAAAAAAAAAAAAAAAACACAAAACCACCACCACCACCAACAACAAAACAAACCAAAAAACAGCACCACAACAAAACCTGAGTTAAAATTATTCTGTGCCTTAATTGCCGCAGCTCAGGAATTAACACCAGCTCAAGACCACATCTGGCAAACTGGTAGGATGCACTCAGGGTTTAAAATTGATGAGCACTCATGAAAACACAGCATAGTTACTAGTAAAGCACGATAATCCAAAAGCAGTTTAAAATCTGCAGAAGGATCCCATCTTTCACCAACTCCAGAGCTTGTAATCTGTGTCCAGTCTGGATTGTTCAGGGTAGAAACTCCTATCAGAGGGATATCAGAATGCTAGGAATTGTTTTCATAACAATAGTACACTGTTCAGAAAGGATTCTACAGTTTGTTGGTGTCAGCGAGGTGCCTGCTAAAGCAGCTGCACTTACCATTTCTGGTTCTTCAAGTATCAGTCAAATAAAAACTTGTCAGCAGGTACTAAAGCTCAAAACACAGGTTTTGCTCTGTTTGGTAATTCTTTTTTAAATCCACCAGGTTGGTAATTTACAGTCGGTTTACTTTACTATAAGCTATATATTAAAATATTAAAGATGCTTTTTTTTGGTTCTTTATGCCTGTCTCTTTGAACCCAAGTTCTAGGTTTCACCTGTGCTAACAACCCACTGTGCTACTCGCCACTTTACAGCGGCCTTGACCTTAAGAAAAGTCACAAAACACTCTGTAGGGCCAACAGCAAGCCAACCATTGCTGTTCAAACAAGGGTGAGGAAAATGCTGTCTTGGTTTAAACGGGCCGTTTCACTGCAAGGCAGAGCAGGAGATTGAAAGGACATTTTTATGCGGGAATTCTCAGAAGCAGTTATATTTGGCTCTGAAAATAGGAAATCCAAGTTCAGGGTGAATTATTTCTGTTTTGCATGAATGCATGCTTTTACCTCCTTGGATTCTGAAGCACTTAGACCAGCCTTGATGTAATAATGACAACTCACTACCTGCACCTGAACCTTATCTCCAGATGTAGTGCAATTGCTTTAGTTCAACTTCTGTCTACCTCTGTTGGAGACAAACCGGAAGAGTAATGGCTGTGTGTCCCTATTCGTCATCAGTGTGATGCTTTGTTTCTAGATACCCTTCCCTTTTCTTCCCAACAAGCTAACATTACAAATTTAAGAGAATAAATGTATGTTATCAAGTAAAATTACAAGATATGTTTACCAGGAAAATGACATCACCTTTAACTTACTGATTTTCCAATATTAATGCTGTCATAATTTAGCTATCCCTCAAAACATACAGGATATAGGAAGGAAGAAGGGAGGAAGGGAGGAAGGGAGGAAATATTACTATTGACATTTACAGAGAAAAATAAAATCCTGCCTGTTGAGCAGAACATGGTTAGCCCTGATCTGAGACATTCAGCTAACACAAAGGAGATGAAAAGCTGAAATTTCATTATAAGGAAAGGTATCTTTATTTTCAAAAAAGAATAATAGCATGTGCAAAGCTATGCCTTTTTTATATCATTAAAAACAATGGCTAAGAGTTAGCATCCTCAAAGTAGAAAGAGACTCCTTTTCCTTAAGTTATATCACTTGGATCATTATCAAACCCAAACATCATTATCTTGGTTGTGTTAAAATCCATTCCTTCTCTGGCATACATACAACTATGAGGAGGAATGGGCATAAAACCATTATAAAGAGGGAACATTGCCAATCTTTTCTAGAAATAGGTGAGAAGTGGCCATTCCCCCTGCTGCTATGCAACTTTAAAAAAAGCTGTGCTACTTACTTAGGCTTTTTGCAAAGAGTAACCTGGGTTGCAGAGATGATTTGATTTCATTAAACGAAGTCCAGCTGAAATTCCAAATTTCCATCTATATTCAATGGCAGCAGAAGATACATCCAGTCAAACATTAATTAGTCCTTAAAGATAATTGACATCCAGTATCCTTCCAACAAATGAGGCTGAAAAAAACGCAGTAGGTTAACTCAGCTTGCAGCGTGCTGTCTTCCTGGGGTGATCGGCACTACCAGCCCTGTGAATTCTGTTGACTTTTCCACTGCCCATGCCAAGTCCTCTCTACGTTCTCTCAAGGTGGTAACAATCTGTTCATGTTTCTTATAGCACAGGAATCAAACATCTAAAAGGTGTCTGGAGACGAAGTCAAAGTCCTTGAAGACAGTCTGCTCCTTACGGGTTAGGAGAGCAACCTCCTCTGGAGGAGTAAGGATTGGCTTTTGTGATGTAAACTCTTCGTCAAAGTTGCTAATGTCCATTGGATCTCTTAAAGTGGGCACAAAAGGGGGCTTCAGAGTCCTGGCTAACAAGGCATCCCAGTCCATTTCCTGTAAGAGAAGGAAGTGAACAGGCCAGATTGACATTATTTATGAAATGTGAAAGTAAGAGGGAGGATTGCAGCTTCCCTTCCAGATCATTCGCAACATGTCTGTCTTCTACTTTTTTTTTTTTTTTTAAAAAAAAGAATATTAAAAAAAGGCTGAAAACAAACAGCAGAGTCAGTGCAGGCCAGGTAGCACAGAGATTCCATACAGTCTAAGGCTGTTCTTCAGAACACCACGAAACAAAGCTACAGCTCCAACTGTATTTAGGAGGGACAAAACTAAAGCACAGATGTGGCCAGGTGGATCTGTGGTCTTCCCGGCCGTTTCTGCTGTCATCCAAGTTGTTTTCTTACTCCAGTGCAAAGCCAGCCAGGGGCTATAAGGCTAATAACTTCTGGCAGGTGGGTAATGGTAACACCTTTGCCTGGAACAGATGTATACCCTTGACCCAAAGCAACTGTGTCTTTAACCTCAGCTTCTCTTAGGATGTTTCTCTCATGTGCATCCTGCAAATGAGGTGCCATCGAATAGACTGGCAATCACTGTCAGCACTAGACAGCACCTTTGACTGCTGCAGTTTGATTTAAAAGGGGTGTTTATTGATGGCTCAAAAGGTAGGTGTATTTGTACACAGAAGCAGAACAATCTTGCTCCGGAAGCTTACAGGGCCCAGAAAACAGACTTGGGGGATGTTGTTTCAAATATGGATTGAAATACGTATTCCTGAATACAGCAATGAGGTGCAACAGAAGTTATCCCTAAGATCTCACTGATAACTAAGGGAAATATGCCTCAATATCAACAGAAAGCAAATCACTCTCAGCTGGAACAGAAAAGATGAGCAGGAGGGATAACGTGAGTTCCTACCTTAAAAAAAGCCTGGATTTTAATCTCTTCTGCATCTTTTTCCCCTGCTCCCAGCCTACGCTCTGGACATTTCCGAAGAAGCTGCAGGAAATACCAGTTCAAAATTAAACAACGGGAGCAAGAATGAACAGAAATAATGTTCCAGAGAGAAAAAACAAAAGGAAGGAGAGGGACTGACCCTTCAGAATGTTCTCATTCTCACTCTGCAGCAAGGCCATAATCTGCTAGTAATAGCTCAGACCTAGTTCCTTGTAAACAACTTGCCCACACCAGTAAGGTACTCGCTGTAAACTGCATGAAGCTTCTCATCTCAATGGTGCGCCTGTGACTACGGGGTCACATCCAAAAACTGACCCAAGCCACCTCCACCGAATCACTCTGACATTCTTGCCCTTGAATCAACTTTTCTCCATTTCAGAGTTAGCAGCAGCAGACCTCTGTAAGAAGCCTGCTTAGTCATCCCTAGGCAGAAGAATAGCATTTATGTAACAAAAAAGAAAGGAAAAATATGTGTAAATTTAAAATGTTTCCTTAGTCTGTGTAGGCAGCTCCAGATTACAGACACAAATGCCATCCAGAGTCCCTCTGGATCCACTTATACAGTAAATACAAATTCCTCAGGCTCCCAGAGACCCATCAAGCCCATTACCTTAC